ATAGCAGAAGTAGAAGTTCAGGGAAAAACAAGGCACAGAAAATACACCAGGGAAAGGGCATTCAGGGCAGTGAAAAACACAAGAATCAAAACTATCAAAAACTACCTGTAGGAGGGAAACAGGTAAGAAGATGGCAAAGCTGTGGTTTTCTGTCACATATCCAAGAAACTTATGGATAGCCAAGAAACTTAGGGTAAAGAGAATGAGGGGCAAAATGCAAATAGAGAGGGAGATCAGAAGGCTGTTTGCCTCTTTTTGATAAATGTCAAGACTGAGTTTAAGAGTTCATACAGTGTCTGAACACGTCAGTGAAGCTGCAACAGGTTAAGGGATTAAGTTACTGTGGTTGTCACTCACCACCCCATGCCAGAAGAATATGGGTTTAGCAGTACCTTCTGTGCAGCCTTTTCAACTGAGAAGTTCAGGGGAAGCTTGATACATGGGAGATTTATAAAACAGCTGAAAATTGCTTATTTCCTTCCAATAAATGTATGAAAGTCTTTGAATTTGCTCTTGATGGCAGGATGTCTCGGGGACGAATCAATGAGGCTTTCAGACTGGATGACAACTCACTGGAGTTTGTGGGCATACTTCCAACTCTGGCCACACCTTATGAACCACCAGTCACCATCTGGTTAATTATATTTGGGGTGGTCATTAGCCTGGTTGTCATTGGAGTTATTGTCTTGATCATCACTGGGCAGAGAGATCGCAGAAAGTGAGTATTATTTTTAATACAATGATCATGACCACTGGGAGACATCACGATGATTGAATCATCAAGCTGCCAAATCTAACTGAAGCAACTTAAGGAATTAAAGCTTGTTATCCCCCTCCCATCAACAGTGACAGCTAAAAGTTCAGCTCCTGACCCTTCAGTTCACGGCAGCTTTGACAGCTTAGTGTAATTTCCCTGTCATCAGCAGTTTAACCAAGGCAGCTGGACACTGTGGCCACAGGGCCGGGCTTCTGCCAACCCTGCTGCAAGGTGGATGGAGTGGCCTGCTGGGAACTCAGTGTCTTCTCCAACAGCAGTTGCCCACATTCATCAGCACCTGCAGTTCTCAATAATCTTGTTGGAGGCTGTCCAGTAATGTAATTTTCCTTAAATATTATGGCATTAACAGTAATATAGCCGGGTTGGTTTTCTATGTCTCTCCATTACTGGAGTTTCTAAGAAGGTAGTAGGTTTGCTGTAGTTCCCCATAAAACCAACACAATTCCCCATTAATTTAATATTCCCAGTTAAACTCAGTATTATTTACAGTAGGGGATTCTGGGGATCCAGAAGACTTGAACAGAATGGGGGGTTCTAATATAAAATGAATTTTCATTACAGGAGAGCGAGAGAAAGGAATGCTTCAAATGGCGAACAGGTGAACCCCTATGATGAAGAGGGAAAAAGCAACATGGGTTTTGAGCCATCTGAAGAGATACAAACATCATTCTAGAAGATGTGGGTACACTAAGGGTTTCTGGGTTTTTTCATTTCACTTTTAACAATCGTGCCTAGCAATGCCCAAAACACTGGATGTCATCAAACACAATGCCTTTGGGTTGACCATTAATCCACTGGTTCATAGAGAACTGCAACTGAATCTGCTGTTTATGTGGTAACTAAAAACATGCAAAAATTGAATATATATACTTTCTGTGGCTTTTTTATGAATTATGTGCATAATATGAAACACTATTTGTGCTGCTTTTCATAAGTGTGCTGCATCCAACTTCTCTTCTTCTCATTTCTCTGGATTGAGATACAAAAGCTTGGAAGTATACATTTGTATATAGAGATCAAGACAGACATAAGAATAACTCATGTATTCTTAATGCCCATGAGGAACATCTTGATCTTTCCAGACGGACACCTCAAAAGCATATCTAATAGACAGTGAGAAAAAAAACTTGACCACTAGAAGAACCTTTGTGATGAGGAACTCAATTTGATACGAAATAACTGCAATTTTTGCACCTTCAGGAAATCTGTATCAATACAAAATGGATACTGGATGAATACTAACAAGCACTGGAACTTTGTTAGGAGGTTGTAACATAAGTTATTTTTCTAACCGTTTCCTTGATAAGTATTGTAGAGACCAAATAGCCCATGCTCCCTCAAAAAAAAAAAAAAAAAAAAAAAAAGTCTCTGTGTTATGTTGTCATCTAAAAATGGAATAAACTTCCTTAATACTAAAAGGTCAAAGATGTTGTTGGTTTGGTTTTTTTTTCCCCCGGTACCTTAGCAATTGCCTCCACTGTACAGATACTGACTGCATACTACAAATACTAATTGCACTGTTACATACAGGGTGCAGTAGGTTGAGGCTTGGGAGGCTCAGGTTGCATCTGAAAAAGAAAAGCTGTTCACAGGGAGGATAGTGCAGCACTGGAACAGATTGCCTATTCCATGCTCTGGAAGAGGCTGTGGGATCTCCACCTTTAGAAGTGTACAGAGTTCAGGTAGACAAAGGTATGGGTGACCAAGCGGTGGGGACAGTCCAACTCTGAGTGAGAAGTTTGGCTAGATGACCTCCTGAGGTCCCTTCCAGCCAGCATTTCTATAATTCTGTGTCTTGTAGGTCCCATGCCATACCTGCCACCATGCCAGTGCAGTTGTTCTGTGCGCACAAGGGGCACTGAAAGGTGCGTGGACACGACGTCTACACAGTCCTGCGGTAGGTCTGACAAAAAGCCAGTAGCAAACATGAGCCTGCATGAAAAAGCTTCAGCAAATGCATGGACTCTTCAACTCATGGGCCTCCAAAATTATCAGAAACTGTAGAAAGCAGTCAAACGTACATCTGAAAACGTATGGCTGGACTCTGTGGGCTCACAAAACACTATCCTAATGCTCCACACTCATTGCCTATTTAAGAAACAAGACCCTTAAATGAGACAGTTCAAAATGGTAGACAGACAATAGTGATTAACTGCGAACTAGACAGGAATGTAAAGGAAAGAAAATATTTTTTCTTTATGTTGCCTGCCTATACCACATATCCCATTGCCATGACGTCCTCAAACCTTAGTACTTTAGCTGAACTTTTAAGACAAGTAATTCAACTATATGTGGTCTTCCCACTTACCGTGCAGTAACAGAAAAAGGGAATGGCAAAGCTGGAAACAATCAAATAATGTAATTAGTCGTGCCAGCCATCTTCAGATCTGTTGTTAAGATTAACATTTCCATTAAGGCAAAGCTTTCATTTCAAAGCCATTAATTTTAAAAGCTGTGCTATGAATCACAAAACACCATTCAGAATTGTCAACAACATAAAGCCACTAAAAAAATAGAGCAGGATGTTGGAAAAACAGAAATAAAAAGACAATGTTTATATTAAAGAAATCAACTACATGC